CAGAATTATTTTTAATTCCTACAGATTCAATATCCCAAAACGATTCAACGCTTTTTAGAAGTTTCTCTTCTACACTTACGTTTAAACACGCATCATGGATTTCAAAGTCTGATGAAGAAAATCTGCCTTGTATACACCACCCAAACAAGGTTTTCATCGCTACGGCATTTCTGTTTATCCTTTTTATTTCTTCGCTTGCTATTTTCCACATAATGTCCGCGCCGATTAAAACGGAAATATGACTCATTCCATCGGCGCCACCACAGTCTGTCAAAGTGATGCCAAATGCTTGGAGGTTGGATTTGATTTCTACATCTGGTACTCGTATATCGGCATTTGTTATGACTGGTACTTCAATGACTTCGAGATTTATGGATTTTTCAGGGTAATTAATATTTCGGAGCGTAAGTTCAACTTTCTTTCGACGCCAATATTTCCCGTTCTTTTCACCGAAGGTATGCAGATTTAAAACAGTTTCTCCTTTCACTGGTAACTGTAATTTTCTTGATAAATCTTCTCGAATTGCAGAGATTTGGCTACCGCCATCAAGAAGACATCTCACAATACAATTCTTATTTCTGCCCTCAGCCACAGCATACACCGTTTGAAGCATAATATTACATCCAGTTTTGGCAGAAGAATTTTGAACAATTTCTGCCGATGTTTCGGTTTCCTTATTTTTTACACTGGAGACAGCTGATGTGGGATTTACATACACACTTTCATGATGTTTACCGCGGCACATTTTGCAGGAAAACTGTGTGTTCTTACAGTTGATAGCTAAATGTTTACATCCAAAACACAGAAAACATTTTCCTGTACGTTTCAAAATGTTGCGTTTCTCATCAGCGTTCACCTCAGTACATTTATATTTCGTATGATCTTCTTTGTCACAAAATATACATTTGTATCCAATTGTTGATAAAGCTGAAGCAGTCGGAACTTTCGGTTTATAATTCGGATAAACTTTCGTGTGTTGTTCATTTTGACGAAAGTATGGTTTCCGATTCGTTTTCGCAGAGTTCATTAAACTTGCAGCTTCTCGACAGTTAACTTCCTTTTTTAAGAATTTGATAAGTTCCTTTATATCAAATCCTGCTTCCATATTTCGACTTCGATTAAATTCCAAATTTAATTCCTCTGGAAATTTCTGCAAAATGATAGGACAGAGAATATTTCCATAACTTCCAGAAGTAACATTTAACGATTTTAAACTTCGAATGTTGACTTCGCATTCATCGTACAGCTTACGCAGTGCTTTAACATTTGAAATGTTTCCCACTGGTTCAAGGGATAATAATTTATTCATATGCGAAGTGATAACAACATCTTGCCTTCCAAAACGTTCTTTCAATATTTCTACTGCGGAATCATAATTCTGATCACTTAAAGCGAAACTGGAAATGGCAGCTAAAGCATTACCTCCAAGTAAGGATTTTAGGTACGCAAATTTTTCAGTTTTTCTCAATCCACTATGATTATGAATTGTATTTTCGAATTGGTTCCAAAAGTCTAACCATTTACACGAATCTCCGTAATAAGTTCCGATTTGCAGACGTGGCAACTTCACTGTTTTCGCTTCAACTGGAAGTGCAACATTAGCCGTTTCATTCTGATGAACTGTTCTAGAAGATTCCGAATTCTTCTTCAAAAATCGTTGTATTCTTCCTCTCAATATAACAGTTTTATCCTGGTACTCTTGACTTAAGGTAACTTCATTTTCAATCTCCTCCGAAGTTACTTTCGTTTTTATTTCTGAATCTAAACTTTTCAGTTCATTGATTTTCTCAATTAACTGTTCATATAAATCCTCGATTATCTCAATTTTCTCATTTAGCGGAATATTATTTGCTAGATTCGATTCGACTTTGGTTATCAGTTTCGTAGTTAATTGTCTAACAACCGATCGTTTCTTTTTCAAATGTTCAAGAACGCCCTCCATTTTCAAAATATTCAGTCTGTCGATTTTCTGGTTCGTAATAATCCCGGTTTGCAGGCACCATAAACAAAATATGTGTAAATCTCTAATAAATCAGACTGGATCGCAGTTAAAGTAATAAACAGAGGAGCGTTCTTCCACACAACATTTATTCACGAACACCAAAGACGAACTGATACATATACATAATGGACATCACAGTTTCTTTTTACAAACAAACACTATCGCCATCTATTGGCAATCTAAAGATATATAATCCTAAACTTAACACTTATCAGAATGACAAATCAATTATTCTTAATTCAAGCAGCACTAAATGGCCTATGGCTATCATTTACAAAATTCTATTTTTTAGAAACTTCAAGTAAATTTCTCCTTGTCAACACATATAACATATTGCAATGCAGTTGGCTTAAGTTTGTAATTATCACTAAGCATAATGCTGCACAAAATGTTACAATGCTATTTGGTATTCAATTACTGATATTTAAAACAGAAATTGTTTTACACATGACTGCCTGAGTCATTTCAAGCTGCCATGAGTTGACAGTCATATGGTGATGAAAGCAAAACATAAAAATAAACGATTCGCCTGGTTGGCATACAGGTTATATGACATTCATGTGGCATAAAATCAGAGATAAACTTTGATAATATGTTTAGGTTTGAGATGTATGCCCAATAATAAGATGGCTGCAGAGCCACATTATTGATCACACAGAATTATGCTAATGAATGCCTTTCTTCAACATGGAGGTATCTTATTTAATGCTGAAGTGAAGTTAAGAAGCAGCAACATCAGTGGTTCTCAACCCTTTTTACACCATTCCTAGAAGATCATGCCCTCTCCCTTTCCAAAACTTGAAAAACATATGCACATTTATTTAGATTTAGATAATTTTCAATGGTACAGCAGGTAACCGGTGGAGTTGAGCTAACCATATTCCCCTTTTGAAACTATTAAATTCCTGCCTAGAGAGGAATTCCCCACTTCAGAACCCCTGCTCTACATGCTTTACTATGAAAAAATATTTAGTGGGCATGCATTAAGCATAAGCTACTCTTATGCTTAATCTAATTCATTCTTCCTAAGAATTCATTCTAAGAATCTAATTCATTCTTCCTTTCCATAAAACATTTCTTTAAAAAAACCCATCAGGGCTTTCAGATTTTATATTACACCCAAACGGGTGTTTTTTTCACGTTTTGTGTTACCTTTATTGATTAAACACCATGTTCTTCTCACTTAAAACACATAAAATTCAATTCAACAGCAACATCACAAAATATTTAAAAACACATCTTTAGAATTTCTGATACACAGTCTGATGTACTTTAGATATAAATTCTTTTTTTTTGTACAAAGTTGCCATTGCTCACTTTGAAATCATTGAGTGTGTTAATAAAAATTTGTTCAAGTTTTACAAAATTTTAAATAGATAATTAAACAAATTCAAAATTCAGGCTTCCAAGTGCCCATGTTTGGTTGGAGGACTACATTACTCAAAATTTGATGGCTCTAGATACTGTTGTTTCTTTACAATGTGAGAGACATTCATGCAAATTTTTCATTATTTTGTTTCTTTAAATCTAATACATGGCCATAATATTTGGTGGCAACAATTTGAAAAGTGAATCAACACAAAATGCTGTCTTGAAATTAATAGCCCTTTTTGGCTAAAAAAAGAAGACAGACAAGAAAAGAAAAGAATTGCTGGTGGTCAGGAAGTCAGGACATTAGATCACTGTGGATATTGAATGCCCATGTTCGGACTTTGTACTGTATTTATATATATTAAACACTTAAGGACATAATTAATAGTTGAACTTAATATGATGGTTAAGAAAATAGTACTTCATTTATACCAAAAATATTTAATTAAAATAATAAAACAAATATCAAGCCAGTTGAAATGTGAATTAAATTCAACATTCATATACACCATCCCTATTTTATCAATTTCAAGATCTTAATTTCAGTTAAGCAATTCAATGTCATTTACGTTAATGAAAATCTCTTCAGATTCCAGTTATAAAGTAAATGAAAGTCAAAACAATAAATTTTCAGAGCATGTTTCAGAGCTCTTGCATTACTTAGAATTATTAAAATATTTGCTTAATAACACAGGACAGATATTTTCAGTCATTCAAAATTTAAAAAAAAATTTCTTAAAAAAAAAAGATACAACAGCATGATATTAAAAGGAGGTATATACTTCACTTTAATGGCATTTGCATAAAAAGGAAACGTGCACCTAATTTTGTTTTCCTGGTTTAAGTTTATTCTGAGTTCTGCTTTACTGGTTTTAGAATTTGTAACAACAAATACACCATTCCATCTCCATTGTAAGGGCAAAAGTTATCACTTGTATTAGAACTAAAAATACTTTGTTGCTTTAAAGAATAAAGGTAATGCTAAAATGATTCAATAACAATAGTGAGGGCTAAAGAAATGGAAAAGATTAGCTTCATATTAAATTTGCGCTTTAGCAACAAAATCCGCTTTCTGAAAACTAACACTGATTTGGCAGAAAGTTCTGACATTTAAATTTTGAAATAAATAAAAAAAAAAAAAAAAAAAAAAAAAAAAAAAAAAAAAACCAATTCTTTTATTTTCTTTGCAAAGCACTTGATGCAGAATTTTCAATATAACTGAATGAAGTTTTTAATACTAAATGTTCTTTCAGCATATGCATGCTTTTTAATACTAAATGTTCTTTTAACATATATATGCTTTTTAATACTAAATGTTCTTTTAATATATACAAAATTGGTCAAGGTTTTAACCTATATCGGAATTCTGCACATCTGGTAAAGCTAAGTGAAACTGACACAGCCTTCATGAAATTTTACTGTTTTTAAAATTTTAAAAGAACTTCTGACATGAATGTAATACTAGATAATTAAACAATGCTATTATTATGATTCAGAATAACATTAGCAATGAAATTAATTCTTTGACTAATTCTTAAATATTTTTAAGATACAAGGAACAAATTATTTTGATTCAGAAGAAATTCAAGCAACAAAACAATAATTCAACTTATAAGAAATAAATCACCTAGATGAATCTCCTTTCTTCTCCCTAAAATAAATATTATTTCAATAAATTTTCTGAAATTATAATTAAACACAATGCAATAAGTTCAAAAACAAATCATTGCTCATAATGCAGTTTTACAGTTTGTAAAACTGCATTATGAGCAATGATTAAGACTGGTTAAAGAGAGATTTGTTTAAAAACATAATAAAAAATTATTACATATTTGTAGTTAAATATTTTATACATAGTATACACATGCTTAGTGTCAATAAAATACTAGTATAACTATCTAACAAGTGTAATAGGTAGATATTTACAGATGCTAAGTGCAATACAATATTTCATATCATATAATAGCTTACATTCTATCACGGTTGCAGCACATTATACAAGTAAGGGCCGTCGATAAAATTCCAACTATGGTAGTAGGAATAATAATTGAAACAACAAAATCAAATGCAAAATCTCGCCTTGGAAGATTAATGGACTGTGGATTGAACTCATCACTTATTAAAGATATCGAAGAATATGGGTGGTCAGACCATCCATGGCTTGTTCCCCTATCACTGTGATCTTTCCTTGATATCTATGACATGAAGACATTTTGTCAGCTTTAATGAAAATTATGCACATATAACATTTTAAAACAAAAACTATAAGCAAACTGAAGTATAACATCAGCTGAAAAGATCAAAATATCAAATTATAAACTCTGCAGATTTTCCAGATTTCTACTCATTTAATCCAAGTAAAGAAAATTTATATTTTTTACCATCTGATTCTTGACTCATCTGCTCAATGAGATTTTAGCTATGGAAGCATTAATAATTAACACCTTTTGGTACACCTACATGCAAATAAATTTTTTATTAAAATTACATTATAATAATTACACCTTTTGGCTGAAAAAATGAATTCATTTTATTAATGAAGTTATTTATATTTTTCTACATATGCAGAAGGGCTTAATATTATTTATTACAAAAGGATTAGATTGTAAATCTTCAGAAATTTTTCATTTTAGATAAATTTTTACTTCTGGGTATATATCCTAATGCCTTACAGAAATTAATTTTAAATATTAAATATATATTAAAAATTTATCTGTTTCCTCTTTTTTAAAATTTAAATGCACTAGCCTTGTCGTAAATGTTTCATTTACTATCTGCACAGCGACAACACATACAGAATTTTTAAAAGAACAGCATTTCTTCAGATCCTCCTAACATATGAAACAGAAAAAAAGACACATAGAAAAGGGCTGAATGATACAGATTGCTTTTTAATAAATTCAAAACTTCAATTCTAGCATTTGCATAATTGCTAATATCTTATATTTGCTGAACACAATGACAGAAATTGTACAGGGATTCATTTTAGTGTAAACTTTACCAACGGGGTATTTAAGAAAAAATACTTATGCTTTAATTTAACAGCACAATTATTTCAAAAGTAATTTCACTGCTGGATGTGCAGCTTTGCTTGTGCCAAATGTTTCAATGTGTTTTTATAAAAGAATTCTATCTTTCTTCAAATAATTTCCCTATCATTTACTCTTTTTCTGTACAAGAGTTTTCCTTTGTATTCACTTTATTTTTGTTCTGGGTTTGAATTCTGTGACCACAGTTTCATATAATTTGCTCAAAATTCAAAACAGACAATGAATTCAGAGATTTAACATAACTGGTTTCATAAATTTTAAATTATTAAATGGATTTTCATTCTTCAGTAGATACAGAATAATTTAACACTGAACAAATTTTTAAAAAAAATATTTTTGATGATTTAGATCAATGTTTCTCAAACTTCTCTAGCATTACCTCCATCTTACAAACAAGGCCTTCCAAACTTGAACTGTCACTTTTTCTCAAATATATATGTGTGTGTGTGTGTGTGTGTGTGTGTGTGATAAAATATATATGTGAATTGACTAACCCAGAAATACATTACAGATAAAATTAGCTGCTAATATTGTCTAGATATGCAGTCAAAAATTGTAAAATATAACAACATTTGGCAATACAACATTTATTTATTTTGGAATACAATAATATACTATTTGGCTTCTTTTAAAATTTTCAAAGTACAAGTTTGAAATTTTGTAATGCATACAAGCTAGTCGATTCACACAACAAAATTATTAAATAGTGAATGAAGGAATAAAAAGCAAAAGTAATACCCAAAAACTTAATAGGATTTAATATAACTGATGGAAATTTAATCCTTGAAAAATTAGGTCAAAATAAAAGAATTTATGGCTATCATTTTACTCTGGAAAGATGCCTCATATTTTAGTAATTTTACTGTGATAATAAAAAGTATATAAATCAGGGTTGCCACTCAAACAGGACAATGAAATTCCCTGACTTTTCCAGGTTTTCCAGGTGTGTTTCAAGAAAATTCCAGTCTATCTGTGTAATGTACATTGGCTGTGCTAAGAGGTAAATTAATTATGGTATTACTTGTATTGTGTAGCAAATTCACTTAATTATTCAATAAATCCCAGAGGACATTTATTCTTAATTATTCTTGGTATACTTTGTTTGATAATTTTGTTTAGTTTTCCACTTAAGAAACTTAATAAAATTTAAGATATATATATTGGATAACAAATGTATGTTTTATTTAATTATTACTCATGATCATCACCAGTTCAACACGAGGCTAATCCAGTCCTTATAAATCATAACGCAATGCTAAATAGTTAGGTTAGATTTTAGGTGAATTTAATTTGCGTGAGGTATGTTCTTAAAACCTTAACACTTGAAAACACAAATATAATTATAATAGTTGTTGTTTTCTCCACTGAAGACTGAGATTAGAATCTTCCCAATCTGGAATAAAATAAGGCTTTTTTTGCAGACATTCTGCAGCTAAACGAAAGAAGAAAGAAATCTATTTTAATAAATTGAGGTATTTTATATTTTTTTGCAGCATACACAAGGAAAAAATATGTGCATTAAATTTCGTGATGGTATGTCATCATACTGCTATAATTAATTTCAGGATTATGCCAGAGGAAATTTCCTGAAATTTGGAAATATTATTTACTAATAATAAATAAATTTAGAGGGAAGAAGCAACATTAAATTATATGAATAACATAAAAATAATTACTTAAAAATTGAATTAGAATAATCATCTATATTTTAGCGAATATAGTTATATTACATGGCTAGCCTAGATGACTGATTACTATTTTTTTATTTTACTGCAAAATGGCAAGGTATTTATTAAAAAGAAAAAAAAAAGGGTTTAAAAAGATTTTGCGGTAAAATTCTAGTATAGGGTAAGGCTTTGGCACGATTTTGAAAATTGTCGCCAAGACCAAAATGACCCGTTTACTGCGCATCAAGATGTCGCCAAATCACATTATTATTCTAACCAAAGAACGTCTATGTAAAGAAGAAAAGGTTCCATACAAGTAAAATGCTATTACGCCGCTAGAATGCGGAGGGAAAATTTGCCAAGGGATTTGGCGACGGAACCTGGCGGTCAGAATTTCCCTCTCCGCGATGTGTACAGGAAATTAAGAAACACGTGTTAAGAAGAAACGCTCTTTGACAAAAAGAAAACTACGAAAATCCGTTTTTAAATTATTGCGAAAAATCCAAGAAGAAACGTTTTATCAAAGAACGTTTCTTCTTGGATTTTTCGCAATAATTTTAAAAACGGATTTTCGTAGTTTTTTTTTTTTTTCTCTCTGAAAATAACTAATCCATGAATTAATTTACTTGCGCAAAAAAATATTTTCTTTTCCTTTAGAGTTTAACCACTTGCGCTAAGACTAAACTTCACGGTTGCGGTGCCGTGCGCTACAATATAACAAGCGGTAAAGTGTCTCATTTACGCCACTCCACATCTGCGAGTGCAATCCAGAGCTGTAACTCGAGAAATAAACAATCTCGTTGTTAGGCGACTTGTGCACCACGTTATTTTCATTTTTGCGATGAATGCTTATCGACGTGGTGCTCACGTCGCTCGCGGTTTGAGACAAAAGCATCTTGACGTGCGTGGCACGTCTTTTTAGCGCAAGTGGTTAAAGAAATTTTAAACGATATTCATTTTATGAACTCTTGATAACGTGACCTTCGAACTTCGACACCGGTTTCGAGCTTTGGTAACAGATATATCAGACATGCACAGCTGTTTCCCTCTATGATGGAACGGAGCCACAGCCACGTCTGTTGCAGAGAGGTTTTCCTTCTTTACAATACATATTCTTTGATTCTAACCTCCATAGTACCGTATACTAGGATTAAACCCATTTTGTTTTATACGAGAACAGGTACTTTCTTTAGTGCACATGCGATTCTCGAGAATACTGGAAACCAAAAGTTGCGGAAATGTTGCTTTGCCTTTCTAAAAGACAATCAAATTAGAGCTGCGAAAATTGGCTCTATGCCAGCTACCCGAATGACACTCACGTGATACATAAACCTCTTCTGACGTCGGCGCAAAAATCGCTTTTTTGGCGGGATCGTTGTATGAACTTCCCTGACTTTTCCAGATTTTGACAAAAATACTTAAATTCCCTGACTTTTCCCTGAATATTTTGGTCAATTTTCGAATTCCCTGACTTTTCCCGGTTTTCCAGGTAGCGTGGCAACCCTGATAAATGAATATTTTTGCATATATACTTTTTATTATTGCAATAAAAAAATTCACTACTATTTTATGTAATAATATATATTCTGATTATGGACTGAATGTACAGCACGGATGTGCAGTAAAAAATTATCAAAGCAGCAGCCTGCTTTACATCAGCTGAGATTAGCAAACTGAATCATATTACAAAAGCTTCAAAATTTTCAAGGTGATTGGCAACAGCTTAAATCATGCTGAATAGTGACTGCATGGAAGTTTTCCTGTCCCTCTCCATGCGTCTTGTCAATATGGACCCTTTTCCTTAAAAAAGTCCTCCTTTTGAAATAAATATGTAGTAATTTGTTGCCTTTTAAATTTTATTTTGAACACACTGCACAACACATTTCGATATTTTAAAAATCGTTTCTTGCATTATGCCCACTTCACCACATTTTTTTCCTTATAATCCTGTGGTACATGATTGAGACCTTCACCTCTTTTTTTCCCCAAATTTATTATTTCACAAAATAACTGTTAATTCACTTTCAAATATACTATCTAATTCATTTTTAGAGCCAGTCTCTTTAGCTGATGAAGTAAGATTTTCTTCTATTACTTCATCATCCATAATTTCCCTTGAAATATCATAGTCTTTTGAAATATCAGAAATTATGATTTTTCAGTTTTATATGCTCTATGGCAAAATCTGCTAATTTCAAATGTCTGCTGTATAAAAGTTGAAACAACAGCCAGACAACACCATATGTATTTATACTACCAACAAAGACACAGTTTGGATCTAAAATCCGATGTCTAATTTTGGATTTCTTTGAAGCCTACAAGCATCTAAATTACATACATAGGATAAAGAGAATAATACTAGTATATGCTTTATTTGCACACACTTGCTAATAAACAATTTACATTCTTTAAATTCATTACATCTGTAATAAAGAGTTATTTATCATCATATGAATTTATGTGAAAATATTATGTATGCCACTCACTTCCCTTGAACTGTCAGGTGATTTTTTTCACCCCATCTATGTAAAAGCCTATCAAGTGTTGGCTTAACCTAATTTGTGCAAGCAACTAAGCTAGAAAGGCTAATGCTGATCTAATGGTAATTCTAACATAGGACACTACTCAGCATCGCTGCCAAAGTTTTTATCTTAACATTCAAGAACTCTGCTACATGTAGTTAATTTGCATCCTGGTAAAGGCTGGGGGGAAGAAAAAAAACAGAAGTGATAGTATATATAAAAGAATGGGTTCATTAATATGAAAACTTATACTCGATTCATACATATTTCCACAGATGAAAATTAAGAACTTTTAATGATATTTAAGGACAATTGAAGAAAAAAATTAAGGCCCTATCAGCAAATGCTAATTGAATAAATTAAAGCCACATCTAAGAAGAGAACAGAAGTATATGTGCGACACATTATTATTAGAGCTAACATTTAACATAACTGTAAAAGAAATTTGAAAATAAAATTATCTGACTAAAATTTATCAAACAGCTAACATTAAGTTCCTGAAAGGTTTATATTTTATACTTATGGCAAAAGCTGTTGGTAGTGCTGATGTGTTCATCTCTCAAACTGTGATTAATCACTCAATGTGAGCATGAAGTCACATTGAGATATATAGATAGGAGAATCACAGTGAAGTCTGTGTATGTTTCCAAAGTATTAAATTTTCTAGAAATTTCTTGTCATATTACTTAAGTTTAATTTGTCTCATAATATACCTTAGTATATAGTAAGATGCTACTATCTTATGCATTCATATTTGACTTTTTAGTTTGTATTTGCAGGATATGATGTTATATATCACTCAAAATAAATTCAATCCCCCCCCCCAAGAACAGTTTTTAAAAAACCTGTACTTTCTTGCACGAAAAAATAATTTTGAACACCAGTGCCTAACAGCATCAGTTATAAATCAATAATGTAATTAATATAAAAACGTTTCATTCCAAAAATTACATAGGTATTTTTGGAGGTATCAGGATAATGATATGAAAATGCATTAAGAGTTATACATAGCTTTTTTCCATTTTTTTGCAACTTATTGGATATTTTACAGCATTTCAATTTATACTTTAATTAAAAAATTGTACAAATTAATGTTGTATAGTTTAGTTCTACACATATAAAACAGAAGGAAATTTTAAGTAAGTCAGTAAAGTTTACATATTTTTGCTATTGGGTAGTCCTATAATGCATTCTCATTTTAAATTAAATATTATTTTATATAAAGAGAAAAAATAAATGCATAAACTTTAATAATAAAGTTTAGATATTTGTTCTTTGCTTGCCAAGTAAAGTGCTAATTACTCTTAAACTTCTATACAGAGACAATTGTGTTTCTGCGAGTAGAAAGCCGGAGACTTAATTGGATTAAACATTGATACCTGATAACTATTTCTATTTTAAGTTACAGTTTTAGTAATATGAATGAACTCATTTACATAGTCATTTTATGTAACATTACAAGCAATATTCATGGTTTAAATTCATGAAACCTTGCTTCTACCATATTTTCATGAATGATACCAAGAAAAAATAACAAAATATCTTTGCAATGCATAATTAATACACAAGTTTAATTACCAAACGAAAACTACACCAGTCTGCTACAAAATGTTTACTTCGAAATAAACGTTCCACTGATGTTCTTTTATAATCACGTGGACAAGGTAATCTGTTTCTTAATGGCTGTACTTCTCTCTCTAAATCTTCAAGATCTCTTGAAAAGGCATTAATTCCACCAATTCTTACAACAACACTAAAAAATTAGAAAGTGAACTTTACACAGTATAAATTAAATTATAAATTACAAACAAAATTTTACAGTTACAAAGAAACATTTTTGAGCAATTTAAAATACTAACCCTTCCTTTTCCTTCGGATTTAGAGGCAAGCGACCACCGACATCTAATGATGAAACAACTTTGGTGATATATATCTCAGTACTCTCTTTCCATAAATTTTCTCGAAATATTTCCTCAAGTTGATGTGTTTTATTATATCGAAACATATCATCAACATTCAAGTTTAGGAATTTCATTTCAACTTCATATTGTGACAAACCTGCAAAATAAATTTTTTTTTAAAGAAATCAGTGCAGGTATATATTTATATTACCACATGGGCCAAAATCATACTAATTTCAAATTTAAAATTAAATGGCATTCAAAGTTAGACTGACGTTTGTTTCATAGAAAAATGAGATGCACTTCAAGGAAAACAGCATGGGATACTCCTTCCTTACGAAGAAAGTGTGCTCTGCATGATAAGCTGAGCATATCATTTAAGTAAGTGAAACAAAATTAACAAAAAAGGGAAGCAACAATTATAAACCATCAAAGGAATAAAAAAATTACGAGATACAAGTTTTACAACCTTTGCAGAAAACAAATTCTACAGACAACTTGTTTACAAGGTCTACGGACCTTGATAATGGTGAATATAGCTTCAAAGTAACTTACTCCTCAATGGAAGAAAAGATTAACTAATTTTAGCAGAATTACAGTTAAAAAAAAAGAATAGTTAAGGAACTAACAGTGCTTACTCAATCAAATACAGTAAAACATACAGGGTGACTGACAGAAACAGGATGTTTTTTAAATGGATAATACTAAGCCGCTAGTGGAGTAGGGAGCAGAACCAGGTATCATAACCCTTGCTACAGCGTGCCATGTCAGTAGCTATGGAGCAGTGAACTGCAGAGCAATTTATGTTTGTGCGACACATTTGTTACAAATGCTGAACCTGTCATGGCATCACAGTGGCTTTTTCTTGTTCATTTCAACCTTGGACATAATGATATCATTACCAGCCGCTATATGATTCTCGGGTGAGTTAACAAACTAAGGATAACAGGAACCATTCTAAAGACTGCAAGGACACCATAAAACAACGAGGAAGTGAAACAAGCACTGACTAGGCGCTCTCAGCAGTCTTCACGAAGACACGCACGCGAATTAAGGCTGCCATGAATTAGTGCACACAACTTTGAAGAAAGACTTAGTGTTTGAAGTCTTTCTTCAAACTCTTCTTGAAGAAAGACTTGGTGTTTCATCCTTACAAGATGTGTATTCTTTAGCAGCTTATGGCAACAGATTATCAACAACGAAAGGACATCATCATTTTAATGCAAGTGCTGCTTGAAGAACATTTAAAATTTTCATTTTCAATGAGATGATGCCACTCTGTACACTGCACATGGTCCAATGGACGTAGTTCATCGCATGTTAGCAAGAAAGGTCATTTCATGTTTCGGCGATATCCTGTGGCCTCCAAAGTCCCCAGATTGAATCTGTTGTGATATTTTTTGTGTGGGGATATATGAAATCAAGTGTCTATGGCCACAATCCCCTCGCAGTGAAGGAGGCAATCAAGCAGGAAGTGGTAGCAACTAATCATGAGGCCTTGGACTGCCATACAATGCTTTCCCATAAACGCTTGAATCTTGCATTCAAGCAAATAGACATCATCTGACATTATTTTCATTGACAATAAGCATTTCAAAAGGCATTAAAGAGTTTTTTGCAATATCCCCCCCCCCATGAAAAAGCAAGTGAGTATTGTTCATTTAAATAATGTCCAGTTCTCGTCAGTCACCCTGTATGAAGGCTAAATGCCTAAGGATAAGCATATCTTTCTGAAGGACTTTCTAAAGAAAACCAGCTTCTACACCTCATATTACAGATAATTATTCGGAAACTGTAATTTATTCTATGCTTACTATTCTAAATCTTATATTTTACAAAAATTTTTGATTTAGCCCTTTCAGAAAATAATAAATGAATTGCTTTTATTCCTATATTGTGACTGTGTTTGTTCTTTCAGCTGTTCAAATCTTAGTGTCCTTATGTTGTTATAAAGGATTCATCAAAATAGCTGATTGAACTGCACACATGCATAGATACAATGCTCTTTGCATGGCAATACTGCAGTGAAGGTCATTGTGGTCAGTTTATAGAGGAATTAAGTTCAATGGAGAATGCATATCCATACTGCACCACTATATGGTAGAATGATAAATGTCAAAGAACACAATTTTTGGAACTGAATTATGACCGAATGCTGGTCCATGCAAAACCACTACATACACATTGTGGAATGATAAATGCCAAAAAGGAGAATTTTTAATAATATGCTCTACAGAAATCAAAGGAAGTGAATCAAGGTCCTGTTGATAATACCCAGATGAAAGTATAGTAAGGTGCTACTGTAGTGTGAAATTTGACACTAAGCCATATATATCTTTCAAAACTGGACAAGCAGAGCAGTTACAGTGAATGTTCAAGGGAGTGGTGGTTTAAGGAAAACAAAAACAAAAACAAAAAAAAAAAAATCAATGGCACAGCCAATTATTTCCATGGCCATATTCTAGAATATGCTTTGGCAGATGAATATTACAGCGACCCCAACTTGCCTTAAACATACCTATTTCCTTTACAGCAATCTTAACAACAAACTATAAAAAAGCCAGTCCTCACATCATTATTGAATTAAAACTGTAAGTAACAAATTCCTCAGGCACTACTTGGTTTGGTTTATTTGATTACAGCAAAGCACTAAAGTGCTATCTGCCTAAAGTGAGACATGCCTTTGTGGATGAAACTTTCTAAAGGAAACTGACTCGTATACACATTACAAATAGAGAAAACCATGAAAATGTCCATGCAGGCAGCCCAGTCACTGGGATTTGGACCACCTCGGACAAAACTACCAGTGTTCAGTAAATTTACTGCTTGACTACTAGTGGGCTGTAATAAATGCTTTATAGTGCTTATCACCCTGCCATCTAAAATGCATTCAACAGCCAAGTGGTTACATGTCCTGTGAGATAATCGAGACCGATAGAACTATAATAAAATACAAAATTTCTGTAATAACATGCATGTGAGAATACATATTTTTCAGATTCCATTGGCATTCTTGTCTCTTTCAGACGGTTTGGTTTGGTTTATTTAATAATGGCAAAGAACTTGAGGGCTATGTGCCTAAAGGAAGGGATGCCGCTGCGGAGGAATTTTGTAAGGGAAACTGGCTTGTATACATATTACACACAAGGAAAACCACAAAAACTCCCATGGAGCCAGCCCATTTGCTGGGATTTGATCCCTGAAACAAACGATCAGTATTCAGTGACTTTATCACTCGGCCACAGGTGGGCCTGTGGTTCTTTTAGAAAACCGTCAGCTGTTTTTCACACATCCTAATATATCTGAATGGCTATTTCATTTGCTGCAAACTCAAATTTTGTTAGATTTTTAATAGGATATGTAGACTAAAATGGTTTTTAAATAAATATGGATAACAAATTTTACTTTTTTTATACTTTTATTTGAGCACAGAACAATTATTCTCCATTCGAAAAATAAGTAATAATACAAATATTTTCAAATTTTTGCTCTGATAGCATATAAATTTATGTGCAAATTAATTTTCTTACTATAACAACGCAAAAAAGTAACTTATTTAATATTTAGTGCTTTCAGATTTTCCTTTTTTACTTCTAATTTGCAATTCCTTTCAGTACATAATTAACAAAAATGAATTAAAAAAAGCATTTCCATGCTTTTTGAAAACTCTGAAGAAAATTAATTCATAGGTAATATTAATCATTCATGCAAATTGATCTGAAATACAAAACATAAAATAATTTTTAAAATCTATTAGTAGCTAAATAATATTTAGTCTCTAAAGCTTTTTTCCCCCGATTATGCACACGAACTTTGTGCGAAACACTTTTGATTTCTTTCCTACTCGTTCCTAGCACATATATAAAACTAAAACTTAAAAATTTGTTTCATAAATACATTTTTAATAATATTAAAATGCTACTCATTTTTACAATTTCATAGAAATAAAAATAATGAAACTATTAGACTAGTGTTAACAAACATTACCTCCCTTTCACATTTCCCAGAAATTTTTAAGAAGGTAGTTCTCATGTGCAATTAAAAGTACACGTGAGCAGGGTATCAGAATTTCACCACTACTCATATAAGTTGTATAGTCATGCCATACTAACAGTGCAGCTCCACCCCAATTTTTCAAGGAGAAATATTGGATAATGGTCTACAGGTCTCCTCCTATCATTCTTTCCATATCACCAAACCACTTGAGAGGACTTTTGGCTCACCGATATTTTAAATGTTCCCATGCTGTGCAGACACTATACATTTAGTCATGACTTCTCTGGAATTTGAAGCCAGGTCCACTGGTACAGCAGTCAATGTTACTAATCACTGTCTGATCAGGATGGTAATTAAAAGTACAAAGCACTTAAAACACTGAATGAACTTTTTTTAAAATATATATTAAATCATTCTATCTATTTTAAATATTTCACATAAGAATGAATAGACAAACTCTGAAGTTACAAACCAAAACATACAAATTAATTGAAACTCCCTTTTAAACACACTACTGATAAAAGTCCTTACACAGTCTTAATTTTTGTAACTGTTACTCACAGACATGTATTTCCAACTTTTTTTTTTAAAAAAAGCTAAACTATTATGTTTTGTTATTTTTAAATTTGAAAAATCATAAAATGTAACTTTTCATACAGTCCCTCTTGGTAAGAGCTATTAAAAGTTTATATTCATTCCTTAAAAGAAAGTTTCACTCTCATACAGCAGCTACATTGCTCATAGCTACTCTTCCATGACTAAGAATCAAACTCATGGTGCTGACTAAAATTTAAGATTATGTCACAAAAATAAAGTAATTAATTAATAAAATACAGCAAATCAATCAGCAAAATAATTAAAATTTGTAATGAAATAATCAAACAAAATACCAAGATTATCAAAAGTATGATCAGCATGCAAATAATCAAAATTACAAATAGCCAATATAACAAAATTTAGTTTCAAAATTAAAATAATTATACTTATTGCAAACTATTAAAAATAAAATATGATACAATAGTTTTATTAATTACAGGAAAGTGACCAAAAGTTCAAAATGAATTCAAAAGCCATTTGAGAAAAATTTTAACAACAATTAAACATAGCATTAAAATGAATATATTTACATATAAATGCAAAAGCAAACTCATAAATTTGTTGAAATAAGAAAAAGAATTAAAAATTTTTAGCTTACATGTACTGTTGGGACCTTTATGTGACACCATTTAGGTGAAAGTGTCATTGCACATATAAGCATATGAGAAGTGAATTACAATTTAAAAAAAGCAGAAACACAAACATGCAATCATGATTACAGGGAACAGAATACGACTGCAGGGTTATATATGGTGTTAAAAATAATCCATTAGTTAATAAATATAACAGAAAATTGTTTAAACAACCATTTAAAAAATCCTAGTAAATTTTTTAAAAAATTAATCTGTTTAAATCAACTGTGATAACTTATCCAATTTAAATTTCCAGTTAAGGTTTAAGTGAAGCTACAATTTATATCAACAGTTTAATAATTAAATATTTTAATCTGACAGGTGTGATTTGGTAAGTTATTTTTAATAAAGCCATAAGGAATTTTATTAACTTAGACTTTTTATTAATAACTTTAATTCTTCAAAAAATTATTACTTGTATATTACTAGATTTTTTTTAAAATCAAGAACTGAGCTGGGGAAAAAATTAGCACATTAGATTTGTAACATTTCATTATATGCAAATCTTCCATGAAAATTTTTGTTGCAAGTCAATAACTGTACATAAAATGAAAATTTAGCTTGGCCTACTTTCATTAACAAAATATTTTCAATAATACAGACTCATCTGCTACTCTAATGAAATAATGCAAATGTGTACACAACAAATTTAGACATACAGATTTTACAATTTTTATAGATCCAAATACACATGTCCAAAATTTAAAGATGCATGGTTATTGCTTCCTTCATGATGATAAGTTATTCACATGTCCAAAACTTAAGGATGCAAGGTTATTGCTTCTTCATTATGAAAAGTTAGTCACAGAATCTAGTGAATCAACTTGTTACTATTCACATGCTTAAAATATGTACAGTAGAATGTTAAATAAAGTGCAGATTTCCTATTCTTGCCTTTATGGGTTACTTGGTAATGTGAAAGCACATTAAGCAAAAATTAGCAGTACTGAAGAGCAGTATTTTTCAGAAATTCTGGATATGAAAAGACAAATATACAAATGTGAAATTTTTTATCATTCCTCAAAGGCATTATCTCGAATATTTTATAAAAACAATAGAATTATTATTACAAAAACAATTACAAGAATATCAGAAGGAGGTCTCTTAATCATTAAATTGCATTGCAGTTTGGAATCATGCTAAGTGTTGCCTACCAGCTTTGGGCAGCAATTCAAGTAACTGAAATGCATTTCCTATTCAATGCAGTATGTTACCTTTATCTGCAGAAAACCAATATCAGCTGCACATAATAAACATTTCACAGCTAACCATCTTACACTTAATTTTTACTGCAGAAGATGAACAAAAATACCATGCCAAAATGCAGTTTGACATTTAAATAATGCAGAAATAAATTCTTGACGATCAACCGTTCTGTGTGGCACTATTCTGTGAGTAAACAATATCTGCAATGATATCAGATCCACTAAGTTTGGATAATGCAGCAATGGGTTAGTGTCTTAGATGGGAATTGATTCACTCTGCAGTTAAGAGTCCAGATTTGTATGCTTATCCCTTTCATGGCAGATGGAATGAAAGGGATAAGGCATAAAAGAAAGGTATTGTTATAATGGGGTTAAGACATTAGCATTATGACTGATGCACATACTGTGCAACAGGTCAATAGTACAATGATATGCATTATTGTAAAGAAGTTATTGAATACAGTATTCTCTTGTTTCATGGTGTCAAAGGCAAAGCGTTTCTTTTTATGAATTATAATGTCATGCCTCATAGAATAGCATACTTGCTGAAAAGTAGGATACCTGTCAAAATGAATGATCTATAGCTCTTTAGATATCAAGCTGAATGAGCAGGAATGGAACATCATGGGAAGACAAACTGCAGCTTACAGTATTTTGCCGGAGAAACAAACAAGATTTAAGTCATCTACAAGATGGGTAGTCAAACATATATGGAATTGACCTAAGAACTCCTTCATCAGCTGGCAATGAGCAAGATAAGGCATTAAGATTGCTACAACACAGTTCAAGGTGGGCATATTCCCTGATGAAAAATCAAACTCCTGGGCACACTTATAAGTGCTTTGCATCCATTTTATACCTATACACTACATTTACATGCAATTTTTCTGCAAATGACTGGTTATCATTGGTTTAATCTGTAAGCAAATGACTTGTTACCATTGGTTTAATCTGTTACTAAATGACTCAGTACCATTGGTTTAATCTGTTATACCGACAAGATTATGATCTCGGGATTAATGCAGATATATTAATCTCTATTCACCATATTTTTTTTTTTTTTTTTTTTTTTTTTTTTTTTTGTACATGAAAAATGTCACTCATATTTAAGCTCTGGATGCTTGCATACAAAACTGATGAACAATATTAGCTTTTTACGCAAATTTGACTTCTGCTTTTCATTTATTAGTTTGACATTACTTTCCAACATATTATTAACAATGGCAGCTCTCATTACATGAATGATAGATACGCAATTTACATGATATCGAATTTCATAGAGAATTAATTCATGGGACTTACTTGATTTTGCTTCTACTCTAAGAGTCAATATCTTACGAGAAGTTTCGTAAGTGTTCTTGTTTAAAGCCACGATCTAAAATTATGATACATATTCATTTACATTTAACAAACACTTATAATACACAGGACACAAACAAAACATATAAAAAAGCATTTTTTAATATCCAAAGACTGATAATCCAAAAGAATGAAAAAAGAAAAGGAAAACAATATACCTTTCTTACATTTCTAATTTATCAATAAATGAGACACCAATTTGCAAATATTATTATAAGATTAAGTAAAAATATAACTAGAACAAGGTGAAATTATCAACTACTTTAAATATAAAATTCATTAATCCATTCCCTGCCACGAGGAAAATAACTGAAAAATCAACATGAAACTTATTTCATGCTTCATTCTGTATACCATATTTAGTAAATATGGTATACAGAATAAGGGGGTAAAAGAGGGTAATAGTAAAGGGGGGTAAGAGAAAGACTCCCCCCCTTTTTTTTTTTATACTGCGTATTGGCAACATTTGGGCGATTTGTAAGTTTGTGTAAAAAGTATGAATAGAAAGAAAATGTACATTTATTAATTACAGATAATTTAATACAGTTTTTTATATTATTTTTTTTAAATATAAAATAGCATAAACCCTTCCGGTTTCAAATTTGAATAAGTTGCAGAATTATTTTTCGGCGAAATCTTTGGCTATGCTTTAGCACTGATTGAAAAACTGTCTCGCGATTACACTTGAGCTGGCGCCATATAATTCGATAAGGTATGATTCAAAATGATTTTTTAATTGGTTTAACTCTTTACAACCAACATAAATGAGGCCTGCTTCACAAATGAAATTCGGCTACCTTCAAACTAATTCCGGTTTCTACACCCAAATGTTGATTGCACTTCACGTTACATTTCCAGAAGATTTGTTCAAATACAGTTTCATTTTATACAATATTTACAAGTACGTTTCGTTCGGTATAATTCCATACCCCTGAACAATTCACACATCTTTTTCACTCGCAAGCAGATCCCAATACCCTAGTTAAAGTATTTCAGGGCATTCAATCTAACCAAAGAAAAATAATTCTTTACGAAAAACTATGTATAACACGTAGGGTTGCCGTAAGTAGGGTCGCCAAATTTGGCGATTTATGCGAATTTTGGCCTGGTTGCGTTAATACACAAGTACCTTTTTTTTTTTTGGCTGCATTTTTGTTCTAAAATTATGTAGAGTCTTATAATCGGTTATTTTCGCATATAAAATTGCAGAATGACAGAAGAGAGTTTAATTATCCCACTATATAAATTAATTACAGTTTAAATACTAAATAAACTACTCAGGTAATTACTGAATATATAAACGGCATAACTATTCTTAAGTATAACAGCCACATCTAGACAAGCAATTTCAGTTTAGACCTATATTCCCTATACAGGTTGGTGGTATGGCTGAAAACAAATAAGTAATTATCATAATTTTGCCTACTTCTTCTTTCTATACCGCATTAAATCGCCTCTGTATTTAATTAGGTAGCTTCCCTTTCATTCTGATCAAAATCAAATTCAGTACTTTGGCATTACCACGCAAACCTCACAATGTCGCCAATTGTTCGCGACTAATTTTTTACTAACTCAATGCATGAAAAAGCATAACTATTTAAAAAAAAATGGTGCTGCACTGAAAATTAAGTTAAACAATAATGAATTAATGAAATAAAAAACTTGCATTTTTAATGTGCATAAAACAGTAATAAATTAATGAAATAAAAAAACTTGCATTTTTTATGTTTAAAAAATTAATAAAGAAAACATCCATAACAAAACACTCAAAATTTCATAAGATGGCAACAAATTAAATCAGATTAAAATCGCAAAAATATTCTATATTTTGGGTCTTCTGTCCATGTGCATAATGATTTAACTTGAAAAAAATCAAAGAATTGCAGAATTCTTGGCATTGCAAAGTAAACTGGCACAGTTCTCTATTCACATTGACCAGTTTGAACTTCAAAAATATGACAGAATTGCATAAATTAACTTAATGGCATGCGCATTCCTGCACTCTCTATTAGTAGATGAAACATCACATTTCTGAAAAAGTGCAAAGCTTTCTTTTTCATTAGCAGGCAAACAGTGGCATTGTAATTCGTTCCAAGGAAAAAAAACCAGAATCAGAGTTAGGCAGAATTTTGGGTAAAAGGAGTCAAAGCTGGAGTCACTAAAAACATGCCAACTCAGACTCCAGTTCATGTTGGACAGTTTGAATTTGAAATGAAATTAAAGTGAATTGAAAAAAAAAATTAATGACAAACTGAGTTATTATTTCTATTTATGGACTATATATGCTAATAAATAGCTGTTTTCCATTTCATTGAAATATTAATAAATAAATATAGGGGAGGAGGATGGATGTTATATTCGCCATTATTGATTGAATTGATTCATTTAGTTATAAGGTATTTTTCCTGCCTTCTTAGCATGCCTTCGTGGTGTAATGGCCAGCACACTTGGGCGCGTGTTTGAGAGGTCCGAGGTTCGAGTCCTGGTGAGGGAATTGTTAATTTCTTACGTCTCCCGCATAAAAAAATACCTAATGTCTCTACATAGTTACAAATCTCACTGGTAAATTTAGGGTAAGCAGCAATAGCAGCAAGAACTCCCAAAATTGATGCCATTCTTAGGAAACGAACGGGAAAAGGAGCAATCATTGATCAAGCAACGTGATGGAGAAGTATATATTTGGTGACATAGAAGTTGTTAGAACCTTTTTTAGAGGATGTAGATTACCCTAATGTTTCACTAACAGAAATACTGTGGAATGATCTTGCAGAATTAGAAACTCTTCTTTCTACACTATATAGAGCCACAAAAAAGTTACAATCTGAAGAATTAACAGGAGACAAGAAGGGAAGAATATGATGTTTGTTCTTTCTGAAATGGGGGGTTCATTGCAGAAGGAATCATTTCTTCAATGAAGAAAAGAGAAAA